CAATATTACTATTTCGATCAAAACCTGTATCAACAACCCCTTCTATAATATCAGTCGATGCATTATAATATAAGCCTGCGCTTAATTTCATCTCATCAAATAAAAGTATACAATATTTTTCTCTGTAGTCTTTAAATTTGAAGACTCTTTCTTTTAAACTTTTAAATACACATTCTGATATGCCGCTATTTATAGGTATATTTTGGATTACTTTTCTCAACGTTTCGACACTAGGTAAGCAGAAAATATTGACTAAAAATCTGTATAATTTTGGACTTCTCTTTGCTAACGTCAGCGCAAAGGCTTTATCTTTAATTGAATATCGCCGATTATACTTATCTTTTTTGAAATTATTAATATTGGATAAAAAGAATGTTTGCATCGCATCTGGCATTTCCTCAATTGTTGTAATAAAATTACATTTAGCTAACTTCTTCACCTCTTTCAACCGCTGGTGTAAGGAAACTCCTCGCTTTCTCAGTTGTCTTGCAATTTTCATTAAGCGTACTATTTCATTGTATATATGCTTTTCGTGCATAGATAATTGCGATTGTCGGGTTACGTGGAAAAGGTGTAAAATAGAATCTAGAAATAATGTAGATAAATAAAATTCAGATAAACAATTTAAATAATACAAAATATATTTTTTTATATGTAATGTCACATTTTCAGACATCTTTTAGACATCTTTTAGACATCTTACTAAAAGATGGCTAAAAGACATCTAAAAGACGTCTTACGTCCCGATTTTGGACATGGTGCTGTCTAGGTATGTCACATCTTTAGATATGTCATATGTCACCAGCTTTGTGATCGAAAATATAAATTACAATTTCATGATTGAGAATATAAATCACATCTTCATGATTAATATAAATCATATCTCCATGGTTGAGAATATAAATCAGTTCTATTACGTTTATTACCTTTCTTTTTTCCCGCAATGATTGTATTTTTAGTTGATAATTTACGTTTCAATTTACACTGTGGAACTAATGTTGAGCAATTTTGTTTTTCGCCGTCTGTATCTAAAAGTAATTCAAAATAGATTATAAATACAAAACAGCTAGATTATAAATAACAATAAATAATATATTTAAGAAATATATATATATATATATAAGACAAAAACTTGATATCAATGATTAAATATTGGTCATTGTACCTATTTGTTCTATCTGTCCAATCTCAGCATCAAACTGTAAATCATCACTTGTAACTTGCAAAGTTATTGGACCCATTTGTTCAACTAATGGTGTTGAACAATTTGGTTTTTCGGTGTCTATATTTGAATAATTAATAGATGCTGTATCTAAAAGTAATTTAAAATAGAATATAAATACAAAACAGATTATAAATAACAATAAATAATATATTAAAAAAAAATATATATATATATATATGTTGGTCATTATACCTATTTGTTCTATCTGTCCAATCTCATTAGCATCAAACTGTAAATCATCACTTGTAACTTGCAAAGTTATTGGACCCATTTGTTCAACTAATGGTGTTGAACAATTTGGTTTTTCGGTGTCTATATTTGAGTAATTAATAGATGCTGTATCTAAAAGTAATTTAAAATAGAATATAAATACAAAACAGATTATAAATAACAATAAATAATATATTTAAAAAAAATATATATATATATAAATGTTGATCATTATACCTATTTGTTCTATCTGTCCAATCTCATTAGCATCAAACTGTAAATCATTTGTAACTGGCAAATCAGCAAAATATTCTGTAAAAATATGTTCACACAGTTGTATAAGATGTAAAAAACGCTTTTCTTCCATTATCTATTATTCTATATATTAATTATGTCACTATGTATTAATCATCACCTGTTAATGTTTTTGCGACATCTGTTGCTGTAACTGGCAAATCTATATTTTTTTGTTGACTTTCTTCAGGATTGTAAAGTGATGGAATATCATCGATAGATATATCAATAAAATCTGTGAATATAAAAAATTTGTTTGTCACACATATATTACACATATATTATATATATTATATTACACATATATTATATACATGTATTATATATGTATATTCAAATAAGTTAAATTAAATAATTAAAATATATACCAGGTAAATACAGTGTTGGTATGGCTATATTACTAAGCCTTTTACTCAATTTGAAGCGTTGTTCAAAATGGGCATCACAAATAACTTTTTCTCTCAATTTTTGATGAGGAATTTTTAATAAGTTATTGTTGCCACACGCCCTTATCCATTTTTTACACCTTTCTACTAATTTTGGAAAATGGTACTTTCTCTCTGTGTTAAAAGTACAATTTCGTACTTCACATTTTTTAGACATAGTCGTTTCTATCGAAAAAGTAAATAATTATGGAATAGAAAAAAATATATGAGTAAAGACCTATCTAGACAAACTTGCATATACTACGTTTACGCGAGCGTTACTTCTGTAGTAACTTACGATAATTCACTCGTTTACGCGGAGTAAATTATCGTAAGTTACTACAAAATCCCGTTTACGCGAAGGAATTATCGTAAGTTACTACAGAAGTAGCGCTCGCGTAAACGTAGTATTGACGACTCTTCATTGGATCCATATTTACCTGGTACATGTATCATCCGCAATCAACTTAAATTCCTTTATATGAAGATACCATGACCGGTGATCATTGTACGATAACGTGATTCGGGGATTCTGAGTAATTACGTTCTGATGAATCGAATATAATTTACGTGTCGACGCGCACCCATGCCACCTAAAACATACGATAAAACACATTTCTCTTAAACTCCTTAACTTTATCATCCCGCCTTGCTTGCTTAATATATAAAAGTTTGTCAGGATTGGCCCTTTAATCTATTTTGTAAGCATTAACATTATTACATGCTTTACGCAAATATAATCATTCTCAACTTACTGTAACCTGCTGTAATTGCCTGTAATCAACTGTAACCATGTACCACAGCTCTCACCAGCTCTTACCCTCTTCTCAATGCAGACAGTAACAGTCGCAATACTTTACTTTCAAAAAAATCTCCGGACAAACACGTCAACACGATCGAGCTCGCCACCGACTCACCAGCTCTCACCGATACAGCACACAACCGATACAGCTCTCACCGATATGAATCATACATGTATTTGTGGCAACTAGTAACGCCATCTACCACTTAGGAAGGAACTTTTTAAGGATTCAGTCTGTCCCATTACACTTGGAGCCCCTGATGCCGCGTTGCCGATTGGTGACGGCTTACGGCAAAACGTTTATTAT